GGGGCCGAGCCGTCGTCCACCGCCTTGTCCCACGCCCATCCTCGCCCTTCGTTGAACACAACGTCGCGCACCGTGCGCACACGCTATGTCTTTGGGTCGAGGATGCGGTAGGCCTTCGAGCCCTCCGCATAGCCGATGAACACTCCCGGAGTGCTCCTGTCGTCGAGCATGCTGATGTGGCCAAACTCCTTGGCGAACGCGAGGCAGCCGAAGACCCGCAAGTGGGAGACCGCCGGCTTGCGCCTATGCCAAGCCTCGTACAACGTCTTGCCGTCGAGCGGCTGAGGATGTAGACGGTCGACACCACCGCCTCTCCCCAGAAGACAGCCGGCATCCCCCTTTGCTTGAGAAGGGCTCGAGCCATCCCCACAACCGTCTGGTTGCGCCGCTCGACGACAACGTTCTGCTGCAGGCTGTATGGCACGGAGTAGTGGCGCTGAATGCCCTTATCAGCGCAGTACGACGCGAATTTAGCCACCGTGAATTCCCCGCCGTTGTCGGTGCGCAGCACGCGCAGCTTGCGGCCGCACTCCGCCTCCGCAGCAGCCGGCGCGCGTCTGATGGCGTCCGCAGCCTCTCCCTTGCTGCCGAGGACCATCACCCACATGTAGCGGGAGAGGTCGTCGACGAGCAGCAGGAAGTAGCGTCGTCCTCCCGGTGTATCCGATGTCACCGGGCCACACAAGTCCCTGTGCACAAGCTCGAGCCTCTCCTTGGCTCGGCTACGCCATTGGGGAAAGAGTCACCTACTTGCCGTCAACAAGCGGAGACATCGCAGAAGCTGCTCCACATGGTCGAGAGCACGGCGGGCCTCGCACCATCTCCAGCGACACCGAGCCGCTTCAAGGCCTCGAAGTGAAGGTGCCCGAAGCGCTCGTGCCACTGCCACGCTTCGTCGTCCCGACGAGCAACGAGACAGAGGGGTTGTGCCACCTGCACGTTAAGGACGTAGAGTCGATTTAAACTTACGGTTACCTTGGCAAGAAAGCGACGACGGCGATCCCAAATCCTCATGACTCCATCCTCAACCACCACGCGCGAACCGTTCTCATCCAGCTGTCCCAAGCTAATGATAGAGTTCCTCAACGCGAGATGTAGTAGACTCGGTGAGCATCCTGTGCTCACCGGACACGCAGCAGTGAAGATGGCGGAGCCGCGCGCCCTTGATCTCCACGCCGAGGCATCCCCAAACTTGCGGAGCCTCGGGCGCTAGAGTCAAGCTCGGTGAAGAACTCCCTGTCGACCGGTCATGTGATGGGTGGCACCGTGTCGAGGCACCACCGTCGATCTTATCGTTGCGGAGCCGTCGCCGAGGAGGGCGTGTGCTTTTGGCTCGTCAAGGTGTAGGAGAGCCGTTGCGGCCGGTGCCACTGGAGGTAGCTTCGATGCTTGCATGTGTCATGAACGAGCCGGCTCCTCCTCACTTTGTCTGACGTGGGCCTAGCCGCGTCGTGGTTTGTCGGCGATCCTTGGCCCAATGGCCAAGCTGGCCGCAGTTGCGACAGGTGTCGTCTCGTGCCGGCTTGTGCTTGCCGGTGGCAACGCCCTGGGCGCCTTCGTGGGCATCACCCTCGGCACGTCCTCGCGCCCCTGCCTGGGCGTCTCTGTGCGCCTTGTGCAGCTTGCCACGCTTGCGGCCGCCTGTCGCGGAAGAAGGCTCCCCCTTCTTCCGGTTACCTTGGCAGGCAACCCACTGCTCCCGAGTGAGAAGGAGATTCCCGCCAGTGGTGATGGGCCCCGAGAGAGACTGTGGCTCATCGCTGTCGACGACCTTGAGGTGACCTATTGCCTCCTCGATCGACATCGTGGAGAGATCCAGCAGAGACTCGATCGAGCGAGCCATCTGCTTGTACTTTTCGGGGACGCAGCGGAAGAGCTTTTCGACAGCTCTCTCCTCGCCATAGGTGTCATCGCCGAACTGTACCATCTTCTGCAACAGAGTGTTGAGACGGAGAGCAAAGTCATCAACATCCTCACCTGGCTTGAAGGCTAGGTTCTCCCACTCCTTGCGAAGTGTCTACAGTGTGAACTTGCGGGCGCGGTCGCTGCCGATGCATGCCGCAGCGATGGCATCCCAAGCCTCCTTGGCAGTCCGCTTGTTGGTAAGTGAGAACTGCATCTCGGACGGGACTGCAGCGATGAGGGCATCCAGTGCCCGTCGATCCTGGTCGTAGTCGACGTCGCCGTACCAGACTGCCTCCCACATGTGCCGCACCAGGAGCTTTACCCTCATCACCGCAGCCCACTCGACGTAGTTGGTCTTAGTGAGGGTAGGCCACCCACCACCGGGGCCGACGTCCCTGACAACAGCTTGGAGCCCGTGGTAACCATGGTACAGATCCGGGGAGAGAGCCACGCTGCCTGTGAAGGCCGCGCTCTCCATCGACCCGTCCGCCACTGTTGTTGTGCGCGCCTCCTCCGAGGCGCCGCGCGCGCGCGTCAGCGCTTTGTCTGGCCGACGCCGGCGCTTTCGTGGGTGTCTTGCGGCTGCCTTCTTCGCCGCCCGCCCTTTCGCGCTTCCCTCCCTCTGCAGCAGCTCGAGGTCCGCGTCGTCGCCGCTGCCGTCAACAAACGGAGCTGCGATCTTGCCGCGCAGAAACCTCAACCTTCGCCGCCCGCCGCCGCGCACATTGCATCTGCCGCCGCCGCCGCTTCCGCCTCGCTCTGCTGCTGCCGCTACTGCCCCCTGCCGACCTCGGCGCCCTTATCGCCGCCCGCAGCGGCGTCTGCTGCCGCCGGTCGCTCGCGTTCCTCTGCACGCAAGTTTGGCCCTCTCCCTGACGCGCCCCAGCGTGCTTTCGGCGACCGAAGGCCAGACTCCTGCGGACATGACGCGCTTCTGGGGGGGCTGCTGCGTGGGAGAGGGCTGTTTCGGGCGAATTGTCTGCGTGAGGGAGATGAGTGAGCGGGGAGGCGGCTAGAGGCTGCTTCTTGCTCCCCACTGAATGGCTGTTGCGAGGTGGGAAATGAGATGAGCGAGGAGATGCTCGGGCTATAGGATAATCTGGCTCGATACTGGGTTGTTAGTCGCTGAATTCTTACCCTTGGTAGTAGCAGAATTCTTACTCTCATCGAGAGAGGATGACACTAGGAGTTCGGGCAATTTTCTAGTTTATTTCTCACACAAATGCATACCAACCTGAGGGGTTGGGGATACATATTATAGGCTGCTTGGCCAAGTACCAAGCATATCTTAAGATGCTAGATGCTAAGATCTTGTTCTAGTCAGGTCAAGATCTTTGTCCTTGATGGGCAGCAAGACCACCATGCAGCCACAAGGACCATATGCTGCAGCCCCACAAAGACCAGCCAACACAGAGACCAACACAGAGACTTATCCCATCAATCCCAAGTTCCCAACAAACTTAACAGTCTACATACAAATACATGTAGCCTGCACATAACAGTCTGCATACAAATACATGTCTCCTACACAATTGTTGAACCAACTGCTAATCAGGATGTCATTATAACACTCTTATAAACTACAATTTATAGCAAGGAGTGTGATTACTCATGCTCACTGCAGCTGTTTCTAGTATTCGCTACAGTAAACTGTCTGCAGCTGAAAAAGTTGCTGCGAGTAGGCTTATTGGTTTTCTAAATTCAGAGTGGCTCCATCCACTACTAACTCATGGTAACATTAGTATGATATTGGGACTCTCAGCACAAATGTCAACTAAAAGCAGTAAAGCCAACTTCCAAACAGCGCCTCCTCTGTTTTCAACTACAGCATTATCATTATCATCATCATTAACGTTTGGCATCATGTAATACCGCCACCGCCTGTGTTCCTCTAGCTTTCTGATATCTTCTTTTCAACTGGCCTTCTATAACCACAGTAGAGTTTTGGTGGTACTGTCGGGCCTTGAATTTGTTGCTGCCTCCTCTGAAGCAGAAGCACTAGAATGGTCTTCAAATTTTCCAGGCAATTTCTTGAGTAGCTCAAGGTCTTCAGAATACTTGAGTAGCTCTCATTCCAAGTTGCTGATCTGTATGTCTTTCAAAAGTAATTCCTCCCTGATCATGTCTAGCTTTTCTTCAAGGTGTTGTATTCTCCCAGATTTACAATAACTGACCATATCGTCTGCATATTGATTCAATAAATCCTCCCAAATCCATAGGTAACCTGAAGAAACAATAAAATCAACACCATGAACTAATAATTACAGAAATAATCTAGTTTCTCGCTTCGTATGGATGGTAATCAATAAAAAAAGCCCACCTTACACTTGCAGCTTTTTTTAGCTACTGCTCGTCCACACCCACAGTAGAGTTGAGGTGCCTCTGTTAGGTCCTGGTTTCTTCCTTGACTAGTTAAAGAATCAATAACTCCCGTAGATGTCGGCATCTTTTGAACTCTACACCAGCAGATTTAATTCAGAAGCAGGCATATCCCTGGTGCATTGAAAGTTCTATTTAACTCCTTTTTATTTTCCCTACAAGTGGATGAATTTCATCAGTTTAATAAGTAGGAGTAGATTATGAATTTATGATTGCTTGGTGTATTCTTGAGATATGTCTCCCATGCATATCACAGCAAGACACTTGTACAAATATACAGCCCTATCTGCAGACAAGAGTATTGTAAAACAAAATTAAATATTATGCATATAAATGATCCAATCTAATTCATGTAATTTCTTTCGTTTTTCTCCTTGCTCATGTTTTTTTAGAGTGCTCCTTGCACTTGTTGAGCTTGATAATTAAACATATTGTTTTGACACTTTAAATCGGGGCATCTGATACATTGAATTTATCAAATGGTTACTATGCCTATAGATTAAAACATGTTCTGCTTAGTAATATTGGTTGACTTATATATATGTTCATGTTTGTGAATGTGTTCTTTGATTCTAGACACAAGAACAATCTCTTGTCAAATGTTGTCTTTTGGGGTGTTTGGCATCTCATATTTGATATGGACTGTTATATTTCTACACTTGCTGCAGTAGTTACTATAATTGTTTTAATTTGTTTTTTATGACTGATTCCTACAGGAAAGACTTGAGAAGAGACGGCAGATGCCTTACCACATGCATATAAACCATGAACTTTTAGAAGCCACATATTTCACTTCTGCCATGTTAATAGAGGTGCCTAATATGGCGGCCAGTCCTTATGGCAACCGGAAACCTGTGAACAAAACATTCCGTGGGCTTCTTGAATTCAGCGAGAGAATGACTTTTGTTGGCCCTCCGGAGAATGTCAGAGGCCATGTTATGGCTGCTGCGAGAGCCCTTAAGAAGGGTGACTACCAAAAGGCTTTCGATGTCATTAGTTCTCTTGAGATCTGGAAGCTGTTGAGGAACATGGAGCATGTTCTTGATTTGCTGAAGCTTAAGATCAAAGAAGCTGCTCTTAAAACCTACCTCATTTCTTATTCATCCTGCTATGGCTCTCTAAGCCTGGACAAGCTATCTGTGATGTTTGACCTGACAGAATCACATACACAAAATATTGTCAGCAAGATGATGATACAAGAGGAGCTTCATGCAAGGTGGGACCAACCAACACGCAGCATTGTCTTTCAGAATGCCGAGCAAACCAGGCTGCAGAGACTACTCTACCAGATGGCAGATAACGTTTCTTTCATTGCGGAGAGAAATGAGATGGATATGGCGGTAAATCTCGGGGAGGAAGTGCCGAGACGCAAGGCTGATAGTCAGGACCCTTCAAAATTAGGGAGGTTGCAGAAGAACTTAGTGCCATTGCAACGTCCTGGTTACACTGGAGGAGCGGCAGGCTTCGCTCAAGCTGGTCTGATGTACACGAAGGACAGTAACAGTAAAGGCTTGCATGGTAACTATGGAAGGGTTAACAAGCAGGCTTATCCATCTGCAGCCGGCATGGTGAACCTGAAAAGGGCTATTGGAGTTTAGAATGTTGCTTACTCATAGGAAGGATTGTTCAGATAAAAAGTCAGTGGCTACTAGTAAGCTCTTAAATTTTAGTCAAATACAACTTATGTTCTATATTTCTTGCGACCTTCAGTTTTCCTGATAATGTTGGTTCTGAGCATTGTGGTTTTCACCTTGGGTATTAATAGTACTCTGAATTCTGAGAATTCTTGTCAGACAATGAAGTCATTATGGTATTGGGTCCTTAATCCCGTGAGCTTTCTTGATTGTGATTTTCAATTGACTTGTCTGTAGATTTTCAGTCCACTGATCTGATATGGTGCCTGTTCAGCTAGGTTTTGTTAAACTTGTGTCTGATCCTAGAAATGAATTCTAGGCTCCATGCTTTTGGCTTCCTAATAAGATAGCATTTGAATTTATCGGAATAAACACTAGCCTGCTGCTGCACGCCTGCACTGCATCGATTAATAGGGAATACTCAATCTTGTATGCAAGAAGATGAAATTATTGTACTTTGTGTGTTAGTTCAGGGTTGATCAGCTGAAGTGAAGCGTTTGGTTTCTGACTGTTAAAGTGTTAATGGGGCATTAGGCATGAACCTTAGTAACATTTTCTGTTGATTTGTCAGGTGGATTTGGTGATAATTAAGTCGACTGAAAATAGATCATATCTAGCAGAAATGTCAGTTTTTCCACTGGCCATGGTTAACTGAAACCAATATGGGCACTGCGCTGGTTTTTTTTTTCCTGTTAACAGACCACGTATAGTATTGTCCAGAATTTGACTTTTTTTTTGAGACGGTCCAGAATTTGACTTGTGATGTAATACTATGCTTAAATTCAGTTGCGCTGTTTCTTTTTTCTGTTAACAGACCACGTATAGACTTCTGATGTAATACTATGCTTAAATTCAGTTGCAATTTGATAGAAACGACAGGAATCTTGGATGCCGAGGCATACGTTTCGTTGGCTTCTCGCTTAAATCCTCGTGAACTCGATTTTTTTTCCGCTTCTTAATCTTAAGATTAAGATGTCTATCCTCTGTTGAATCAACAACGAAAACCGGCAACAAGGTCACTTGTGCTTAGTCCTGACAGGTCTAACTCCATCAGATAGAAAAATGGATCTCCTACTACGTAAGAATTTTCAGACTTGGTTACCACTTCTAGAAAAACAGCATTGTGAAAGCCTGCCACTTGCTCGTACAAGTTACAAGCAACAGCACGTCACGTCGTCACATTTCATCACATGTATCCACAATTTAGTTGCAGAGGGCATCGGAGTAGGTTTCTTGCCTGACGAAATCTTTGCTCTAGGATACATGGACGCAGCCCGGGGTGTAGCTGCAGTTCTAAGAAGAACATGCTCCCTTTGCCTCCTGCTCGCCTTGGGCCTTGTTCAGTTCCTCCTAAAGTTTATTCCATATCTCATCAAATATTTGGACACATGTATGGAGTATTAAATATAGACTAAAAAATAACTAATTGTACAGTTTACGACTAATTTACGAGACGAATCTTTTAAGCCTAATTAGCCCATGATTTGACAATGAGGTGCTACAGTAATTCATGTGCTAATGACGGATTAATTATGCTTAATAAATTCGTCTCGCGGATTACTGACGGATTCTGTAATTTGTTTTTTTATTAGTATCCGAACACCTGATGTGACACTCCATAAGACACCTGACGTGACACTCCAAAACTTTACCTGGATTTAAACAAGACCTTAGCCCGAGCCCCCTCTGTCATGTCTCCGTGTACTCTCTGTTCCTGGACTTCATCGCCAGGCTCCACTGACTCGGCAGGGCCGGCCGGCCGGCCGGGAGTACCCCTGCGGTTCTACGACCTGCTCGTCCGCCTCAAAAACTTTGTCATGATGTATACATGACTGATTTTAAATTTTTTGTCTTCATTTCATACGGGGATGACAGTGATTCTTAGGATTTCATACGGGACTAGAATATTTTTAAAAATATATAAAAATAAATTTTCAAAAAATTATCTAATATTTTTACATGAAAAAATAATGCAATTAAAAACCCTAAAATCTAGTTAGATTTTTTTTTAGCTTGGAAAATTATGAAACTAGTTTTCATATTTTTTTTTTTCTAAAATCATGCTCTATCTTATGGTGCGCTTGATATTGTTGAATCTTAATGGACTTACTTTTGTTCTCACTGCTAGTTGATGTTGATCATTATCTGTTATAATATTTAGTTGATGTTGATCATCACGTAGAAGCATCGGTGGAGTGTCGTTAGGACCGTATTGGAGGCTGATCCTCTGTCATGGATAAATTTTCAAAGTAATTGTGTTAGTCTGCATGCCCGGGCGCGTTTGAGTCTTCAAACCAAGACTCACGTGATCGGGTCGGGTTGAGTGCAGACCTAATCCACCAAATATGAACAAGCCCGCCAAAGAGCTGCACCGATGCGTCACTGCGGATGTTTTTTTTTTTTTTTGACTTGATTGCCTTTCATTAGAATTAACCGGCCGAGGCCTCTGACATCACCAATTCCGCTACACATGCTGGAGTTACACGCCACGTCTCCAGACGATGTGTATTGATAACTTGTTTAGCTAGTACATGAGCGAACAGGTTGTATATTATTACACATGCTGGAGTTCCGAATAGGTTGTATATTATTACAACGTCTATTAACATAAACAAAGAAAAAATCTTGAAAGGCAATCTGCAAGTCCTGAATTTCCTTCATAACCGAGTCGACAGCGGAGCGTTGGACATCTTTTCTCTTCCACAGATTAACTAGCTCCAAGCAGTCTGTCTCCAGGATCACTCGTTGTTCACCATGTTGCCGAGCCAGCCTGAGCCCATCACGGCATGCAAGGGCCTCCATCATACAAGCATCAAGGGCCCTGTTATACCAGCGTGCTTGGGCAACCATGAATCCACCCTGATGGTCACGGATGATGCAGGCCATCGCACGCACATCGCTGACCGCCTGAAACGCTGCATCAGAGTTGATCTTCACCCATCCAGGGCAAGGCGGGCACCACTTCGGAAATTCCTGCCCCTCAGTTCTCTGCTTCATTTCGTTGAGTTGTGATCCAAATTCAGTTATGTACAAGATAAAGGTTAACTTCTGACGTAGCGAAGCGAGGCCTGTCGCCGGGAGGCTTGGGTTTTCATCTCTATATATACTTGTAAATTCCCGACGTTTGTAATATCACCCGATATAGTGAAGATTTGCTGGCTGGTGCCCGTAGTTTTTCCCTTCTTCCTTAGAAGGGTTTTCCACGTTAAAAATCTCGTGTCTCCTGTGTTTGATCTACTGTTCTTCGTCGTTTATATTGCCTATCGTTTCTAACACATTTGCCGGCTAAGCTGCAAGAGATCGTGTGCCGTGTCTCTAGCCCAAAGTACAGCTTGTTGAATGCTCATAGTTTGCTCACCATGGCGTCTTTTATTTCGCGTCATCCACAGAGCCCACATTCCACAGAGGAGCACTGATGTATCCCGCTGAGAACATATGCCCGATATAAGATCAGTGGCCCAAGTTTCCGAGTTCAGGTTAGGAACCTTCATTCCTGTCCCCAGCCGGACTTGGCGCCAAAACATCTTGGCCACCGAACACCTGAGTAACACATGGTAAATGGATTCCTCTGGTCTCCACAATCTTCGCAGAAGGGGACCGGCTCGATGTGTTTTCGAAAGAGCACTCCCTTTGCTGGTAGGAAGCCATGAACAACACGCCACCAGAATACCCTCACTTTGGGCGGGACCTCAATCTTCCATAGCACCTTCCAGAGACCATCAGAGGAGGAGCTGGGCGCCTGGAGTTGTGCCCCCTCAATCTTGTTCTTGTACAGACGCTTATATGCAGTTTTGACTGAATAAACTCCTGAATTTTCCAAGTCCCATGCCCAGAAGTCATGCTCACCACAGCCCACAGGTTGCCTGACTATTGCTTCTGCATCAATCCGGAGGAAACAGTCCCTGATGAGCTGCAAATTCCACTGGCCACTCGCAGTCATTAGTTCCGTTACTGTCACCACATTCTGACCATCCTGTGGAGTGATCGGTCGGCCCTCAAAATGATTTGCGTCCATCTATCCCTCCAGATTTCCGTATTGCTACCATTGACCACTCTTTTGATTAGACCGGTTTGCAGCGCTTCTCTTCCGGCCATGATAGCCCTCCAGGTACTACTCGCATGTTTTCTTCCTGGTTGCCATCATGAACTCTGAATCATGGTAATACTGCCCCTTCAGCACTTTTGCACAGAGCGAATCAGGCTGAGTAATTAGTCTCCAGCCTTGTTTCCCAAGCATGGCCAAATTAAAGCACCGAAGGTCTCGAAAACCCATTCCTCCATTGTTCTTGGGCGAGTAAGGCGCTCCCAACTCATCCAGTGCATGCGCCTGTTGTCAGCCGAACTCCCCCACCAGTAGTTTGATATTGCAGTTTTTATTTTCTTGCATGTGTTGATCGGTAGGAGGAAGCAGCTCATTGAATATGTCGGAACCGCTTGTGCGACTGATTTGATTAGTACTTCTCGGCCTGCACAACTTGCCTCTCTACCACACCAACCATCAATCTTGCTTCTCACCTGAGCTGGTAGGAATTCAAATAAGCCACTAAGACTCCTTCCCGGTTCCGTTGGGAGGCCAAGATACTTCTCTGCTAGCGCCTCCTTATGGATATCCAGCCCCTGGCACACCTCTGTTTTCATGTCCTGAGAGCAATTCTTGCTAAAGAAGATAGCAGACTTGTCTCTGTTAACCAATTGTCCAGATCCTTGGTTGTATCTAGTCAATACCCTTGGATATGTGCACCGGGCCAATCGATCTCAAGAGACACGATAAACCTTCCGAGCATAGGAGAAATAGGTATGGTGAGATGGGGTCACCTTGCCTAATCCCCTGTGTTGGCCTGAAAGATTCCGTCAGCACTCCGTTAACTCTGATAGAAAAAGAAACTGAGCTGACGCACCTCATGATCAAATTCACAAAATCCGAGTGGAAACCAAGTCTCAGCATGATGCCTTTCAAATATGCC